CAAACCACCATATGAACTATCACGAGTTTGTCAATGAGCCCCCTAAACCACTTTTATATCCGGTTTAGGGGGCATATTGACAAACCCGTATAGTTCATATGGTGGTTTGTAAAAAAAAATAGTTTATATGGTGATGCGCCAAAACCGTGATAGTTCGGATGGGAAAAATATTTTACCCTTTGTAAATTAAATATACGTTCAATTTAGTCCGGCTAATCTTCCTTTGAGAACGACCCGAGTTGGGTAACTCGGTTACTTCTTGCCCAAAAAAATCTTGCAAACAAAATGGCGTCGTTGCCGGGGAAGATTTAGGAATTATTTCATGCGTTTATTCACTCATTTTTCGTATTTCTCTTTGTTCTTGTGATTTTTTTTTTTTTTTTTTTTCTCCTTGTTTTTCTTGTTTTATTTTTAGTATTTTTGAAGTATTTGTAGTTCACTCTTCTTCGTTAGCAGGTGCTCGTAACAAACTTTTGTTTTTGTATGCGTACTAGGAGTGGTCGTGTGCTCATTCCGAAGGACAAATCCATTGACGAGGCTTTACGAGACTTGTTCGCCAATCTCTCTCTCGAACCCTCAAATTCCAACGACCAAAGCAAGATGGCACGTAACGATGAAGAGGAAGTGAACAACCCTCCGCGATACCTTCTCCGTGACCTAGCCCAACCAATGATTGGGTCGGTGACTTCATGCATCCGATTGGGACCAGCGGCTCGGAACTACGAGCTCAAAACCATTCACTACAATCAACTTCCATCATTCCACGGGCTTCCAAACGAAGATCCACTCCATTTTATCCGTGAGTTCTATAATGTTCTACAAACTTTCCCACTCCATGGTCTCAATGAAGACCAATTGAAGATGAGGTGTTTTCCCGAAACTCTTAAAGACTGGGCTAAGGCTTGGTTTATGACGCTTGCTCCCGACTCCCTCACTACTTGGGAGCAAGTGTATTCGAAATTCATCTGGAGATACTATTCTCATCAAAAGACACAAGAGCTCCGATCTCAAATTGTCTCTTTTGCCCAACAACCAAACGAGCCACTACATGAGGCGTGGAAACGCTTCAAAGATCTTCAACGGCAATGCCCACACCACAATTTTCCACCCGCTTTGTTGATGAATAGCTTCTACGACTCTCTCCATCAAAACTTTCAATACATGGTGGATAATGCGGCCGGTGGCGACATAGGAGCAAAAACGGCTGAAGAAATGATGGAGATTTTTGAGACGATGAGTACAAACTCGTCTCAAAAGAGTAGCCGAGGAAAGAAGGCAATGGTTCACGAGATAGCACCCGGACAAGATATGATAGCTCATCAAATCGCCGAGCTTACGGAACAAATGAGGTTACTTCTTGCCCAAAAAAATATTGCAAACAAAATGGCGCCCATCCGCTTTCGACCAAGACTTCGGAAGTGTGCCCATCCGCTTTCGACCAAGACTTCGGAGAGCCACATATTGATGCCAATGCTCTCCAAGGCTACCAAAACCAACCTGTCAATGATCCGTACTCCAACACATGCAATCCTGGATGGCGAAATCACCCCAACTTCTTGTGGTCAAACAACAACAACACCAAACAACCCCGACAAATTTTCATCCAACAACCGAACCGGCCAAACTTCGCTCCTCAACAACACATTAGACCAAACTTCCCTCAACAACAGCAACCGCAAAGGGGTACTATGGGAGGGATGCAAAACCAAGGGGCTGGTCCTAGTTCGGCCACTCAAGATGGAAAATTGGATAAAATCCTCCAATTTATGACAAACCAAGAATCCACCATCAAGTGCATCGAGACTCAAATTGGCCAACTCGCTTCAAGAGTTGGCAATTTGGAGGCCGAATCCGACAAAGAGAAGCTTCCGAGCCAACCCAAGCAAGCAAAGGCAATTACCGTTTTACGGAGTGGCAAAGTTGTCAACAACCAAGTCGAATTGCCTGAAACGGAGGATCCAAAGCCAACAGATAAGCCCAAAGACGATGATGTTGAGGATAGCACACAGACAAATTCGAAAAAGTCGGTGGGAGGTCCATTTTTACATAAGTCCACAAATCCATTCAAACCACGTATCCCTTTTCCGGGACGACTTCGGGACGAAATACAAGAAAAGCAATTCCGGGATTTATAGAACATGCTGTCCAAAGTCAATGTCAACTTACCGCTTCTCGACGTAATTAAAAATATGTCGTCCTATGTGAAATTTTTCAAGGATTTGGTGACAAAGAAAAGAAGATTTGAAGAAGGTGAGAAGGTTGTGGTGTACGAGGCGGCGAGCACCATGCACCATGACTTACCCAAAAAGGAACGTGATCCCGGGGGTTTCGTGATTAAAATAGCCCTCGCGAATGGAAAAGAAGCTTCGGGGATGCTCGACCTAGGAGCCGGAATCAACCTTATGCCGTTCTCAATATTCCAACGCCTCGGTCTCGGAGACTTGAGACCAACCCGTATGTGCCTCCAACTCGCCGATTGTTCAATACGATATCCAAAAGGGATGGTGGAAGACGTGCTAGTTCGTGTGGGTAAGCTTATTGTCCCCGTGGATTTCGTTATTCTTGACGTGGGAGAAGTGCACGAGAATGGGAAGGATCACACCATCCTTCTCGGGAGACCATTCATGGCCACCACTAACACGCTTATTGACGTAAAGAATGGGACGCTAAAATATGACAGTGTTGGGCGAGTCCGTATCTATTTCTGTCCGAGAGGCCACGTCTGCATCCTCGGTGAATTTTATGGAGGAATGCGCATTTGTTGATATAACTGACCCGTTTGTCGAAGAGATAGCCCAACAAGAATGGAAAGCAAGGTACATACCCGATTTTGAAGATAACAAAGAACCAACCATCGACCTTTGCACAACCGACCAGCCTGATGCAAAATCAACCCTAGAGCTGAAAGAACTACCTCGACATCTCAAGAACGTATTTTTAGATGAAGAAATGCAAAAGCCGATAATTATTTTCGCCGAACTTGCAAAGGATGAAGAAAGAAAGCTACTTGAGGTACTCCGAACGAATAAACAAGCCATCGGATGGGGTCTCGGAGATCTTAAAGGTATTAGCCCTTCCACATGTATGCATCGGATCGTTTTGGAGGATGGTGCCAAGCCATTTCGGGATAGCCAAAGACGGCTTAATCCGAATATGATGGAAGTTGTTAAGAAGGAGGTACTTAAGCTCTACTCCGAAGGGCTTATTTTTCTGGTAGCCGATAGCGAATGGGTGAGCCTTATCCACGTGGTGCCAAAGAAAGGCGGTATCACTGTTATCGAGAATGAAAAGAAGGAGATGATCCCACCCGTATTACTACCGAGTGGAGAATGTGCATTGACTACCGGCGACTCAACGCCGTGACCAAGAAAGATCACTTTCCGTTGCCATTCATTGATCAAATCCTTGATCGCCTTTCCGGTCACCAATACTATTGCTTCCTAGATGGCCTTTCCGGCTACTACCAAGTAGCAATTGCTCCCGAGGATAAGCCAAAGACCACATTCACATGTCCATTCGGCAATCTTTGCATTTAGACGTATGCCTTTCGGACTTTGCAATGCACCTGGGACTTTCCAAAGGTGCATGTTCTCTATCTTTTCCGATATGCTCGAGAACTTCCTTCAGGTATTTATGGATGATTTTTCTATCTTCGGTGATTTTTTTTCTCATTGTCTCCATAATTTATATCAAGTTCTCAAGCGTTGCATTGAGTCTAACTTGACATTAAGTTGGGAAAAGAGTCATTTTATGGTTAAAAGTGGAGTTGTTTTGGGACACGTTATTTCTAGTAAAGGAATTGAAGTCGATAAAGCTAAGGTCGATGTGATTGAAAAACTTCCCCCTCCCATAAATGTTAAAGGTGTTAGAAGTTTTTTGGGTCATGCTGGTTTCTATAGGCGTTTTATCAAAGATTTTTCAAAAATAAGCCAACCATTATGTCGTTTGCTTACTAACGATGTGCCTTATGTTTTTTATAATGCATGTTTAGATGCTTTCAAAAAGTTGAAAAATAAGCTCGTAACAGCACCTATTGTGATTGCGTCGGATTGGTCGTTACCCTTTGAAATAATGTGTGATGCGTCAAATCTTGCTGTTGGAGCCGTTTTAGGTCAACGAGTTGATAAATTACTTCGCGTGATATATTATGCTAGTTTGACTTTAAACGGCGCTCAATTAAATTACACGACGACCGAAAAAGAGCTCCTTGTCGTAGTTTTTTCTCTCAATAAATTTAGATCTTATATTTTGGGATCTAAAGTAATTGTGCATTCCGATCATGCGGCATTAAGGTATCTTTTGAGTAAAACTCAATCGAAACCGAGACTTATTCGGTGGATTTTACTTTTACAAGAATTTGACGTTGAAATTCGTGATAGAAAAGGGTGTGAAAATGTTGTAGTCGATCATTTGTCTCGTATTGTTCCTTCCGATTGATCACTCACTTTGCACGAGCATGTTACCATTAGTGACGATTTTCCATATGAGCAATTGAGTGAAGTGTCGAGTCATCCGTGGTACGTGGATATAGTAAATTATTTATCCAATGGTGTTTTGTTGGCTAACCTCTCTTTTCAAGAGAGGAAAAGATTTGTTGCATTGTGCAGGAATTACTATTGGGACGATCTGTTTCTCTATAAGATGGGGAAAGACGAGGTGCTACGGAGGTGTGTGCCTGAAGAAGAGAAATCGGACGTTCTTGCCTTTTGGCACGAGTTTCATTGCGGAGGTCACTTTGGGGGTCGAAAGACCGCCTTTAAGGTCCTCCAATCAGGTTTGTTTTGGCATACTATTTTCCGAGATACTCATAATTTTTGTAAGGCTTGCGACCGTGTCAAAGGATTGGGAATATCGGTTCCCGAAATGAAATGCCTCTTGTTAACAATCTACAAGTTGAAATTTTTTATGTTTGGGGCATCGATTTTATGGGACCGTTTCCTAAGTCCTTTGGTTTCGAGTATATTTTGCTTGCGGTTGATTATGTGTCCAAGTGGGTCGAGGCCATCCCCACAAGGACATGCGACGCTAACGTAGTTATCAAGTTTTTGCAAGGTAATATTTTGAGCAGGTTCGGATTCCCTCGGGCCATTGTGAGTGACGGAGGCAAACACTTTTGCAACCGCCTATTCGAGAAGTTGATGACAAAATACGCCATATCGCACAAGGTGGCGACACCCTACCATCCACAAACATCGGAGCAAGTGGAGACGAGCAACAAGCAAATTAAGATTATCTTAGAGAAGATGGTGAATTCATCCCGAAAGGATTGGTCCCGACGACTCGACGACGCATTATGGGCACAACAGACCACATACAAAGGAGTGTTGGGGATGAGCCCTTTTCGGCTCGTCTACAGGAAGGCTTGCCATCTCCCGGTCGAGATTGAACACAAAGCGTTTTGGGCGATTAAGAAGATGAACTTTGACCTTGATTCGGCCGGAAAGGAGAGATTGTTGCAACTATCGGAACTCGAGGAATTGCGAAACGAGGCGTACGAGAATTCGAAGATTTATAAGGACAAGGTCAAACGACTGCACGACGCTCGTATTGTCCGGAAAGAGTTGGTGTCGGGTATGCAAGTTCTCCTTTTTAATTCCCGACTTCGGTTTTTCTCGGGAAAACTTAAGTCCCGGTGGAGTGGCCCGTTCATTGTGGACGAGGTTCTGTCTTTCGGGGCATTCCGACTTTGGAACCCATCTACCGGTGAGTTATTTGTTGTTAACGGCCAAAGGATCAAGCCATACATCGGAGGTGAAGTCGGGAAGAAGCACGTCGAGACCATTGATCTCGGCGAACCACAGTACATTTGATCGTGATAATGCCGAGCTCACGGCAATAAACCGAGTACATTTCTATATATTATTATATTTATATATACATTTTTATTTTAAAAAAAAAAATCAGGTTTCGTCAAGCTAATGACGTTAAACAAGCGCTTCTTGGGAGGCAACCCAAGTGATTTACTGTTTTCTTGTGTGTTTCGTGTATGCTTTTTATTTTATTTTATTTTTATTTTCTTTGAATGATGGGAGTTTGTGGAGTTTGTTTTCTTGACAGGTTGTATCGAGGACCGGTTGATAAAGGGCGGAAGGTTTGAACGCAAATGCTTATTTCCATTGAGGCTACTTCGGTTTGCACACTCTTTTCTTTTTCTTGTTTAAATTCCCAGTTTTTTTTGTTTTTATTTCCATTTATGTGTCGATGCAATGGGGACATTGCATTATTTTAAGTGTGGGGGAGTTGGCGACTCTGTCTTGGATTTTGTGTGTTTTTGTGGTAGGTTGTTGTCGAACATGTGGTATCGGTGAATTATATGATTTGTTGATAAATGTTTGATGAAATTGAGAAGATGTGATGACGAATGTATTGATCATTGTCTCGGTATTTACTTGATTGCTTTAATTGACATTTATTTAACTTGTGAGGGTTCGATCCTTATTCTTCTTTCTTGAGAGATATTGGTCGTATTCTCGAATGATTAGAACTTGCCGTGAGTCTATTTGAAAAGAATCGGTTTAAGTTTGAAATTGCGAAAATGATTTAGGCGTTTTGATTGTTAGCTCGTTTTGCCTTGTTCTTGACCCTAGAAATACATTTTCCGCTAGTAGCTTGTTTGAACTTGAAGCCTTTTCTTGTAAACCACATATATATATTATTGTTGACAGGTTTTGAGTGACGATTGGTGAATTGGCGATATTTTTGAAAGAGGTGAAAATCGAGTTGCATTTTATGCTTGACCATATATATATATATATATATATATATGTGTGTGTGTGTGTAAAAAAAAAATACATGAGAGCTCGCAAGACGAATCAATTGGATTCTACTCCACTTACATGTTATTCATTTTAACGAGTAATGAGTATTGGGAAACCACCTTAGGACACTTGGATGATCTCCAATGTTTAAACCTAAGGAATATTGTCCTTGCGATTCGAGCTTGTTCGGAAATAGTAACTCTTTTAAAAAAAAAAAAGTGTAATAAGTCAAGCAATATTGCAATTCAATTGGAGCATATAGGTGTTGTTTGCGGAGACATTGGTGGATGGTATGCGTGCATCTTGTTGATTTAGTCGAGTGGCGGACATTCGAGTATTCTATAACTCGAAAACTTTGATTGTTTATTTGAGTTTTCTTGTCCATATATATATCATTACCTTTGTTATATCCCACATTACAACCCGAGAAGTCCTCTTGATTCCAAAATTTTGAGCTTTGGCAGATTTCGAGTAATTTAGACGATTGGCAAGCATATGTTGAAACGAGAATATCGACCAATTTTGAGCGAACTCATCACATATCCGAACAAGAAAATGAGTGAGGCACATATGATTATCTTGGAGAGTTGTCATTTTAAGGCCGAGTTGATATTTGAGGCATATGGTCATTGGAATTCGACTCGATAGAGTTAAACATTTTGAAGCATGACTTATTTGAAACGTATACCTATGTTCGTATTTTGTTTTATTTTCTCTTTGTTCGGGACGAACAAAGGTTTAAGTGTGGGGGAGTTGTTGTGACCATTTTTGTTGCGATTTTTGTTATTGTTTTATCATTCTTTTTCTCTCATTTTAGGTCTTTAAGTTTTTTTTTTATGTCGTTTTATAGTTTATTCTGTGTTTTCCTTTATTTTGGTTTCCTTGGTGTTTTTCGTGTGTTTTTCCCGTTTTTCTTCTTGTTTTTCGTGTGCAGGTCGGAGGCATTGTGAGAGAATGACATGGATCGGTCAATCATGGTTATGTAGATGGACTCATTGGCTACACATAGGAAAAAATGGAGTTTGATTTCAAGTTCGGATGAATCCGGATGGAACCAAAACGCGAAGCTGCGCAAATTACCGACCCTTTAAAGGTTGGAAATTCTACATAATTTGTACTCTGAGCAATAGTGTGGTTTGCAAGCATCATTGGATAGAGGGGTTCGTTAGCAACGCGTAGGAAAAAACGGAACTCAATTCCATGTTAAAACGAACCCGAACGAGCAAAAATCGTAAGATGGTGCAGTGCAGATTTTGGTCCCCGCGGCCGTAAGATTTTCTTCGCCGCGGCCGCGGCGACCAAAACAGCTCCAAGTCCCAAACTTTAGCATTGAAATCCCGCGGCCGCGGAGCTCGTCGCGGCCGCGGAGGGCGATATTAGCAGTTTTTTTATGGTTGGATTTTGGTTGATTTATTGTTGGAGTTTGGTTTATGTTGGTTGATAATTAGATGAATCATGTTTTGTTCAACTCTATAAATAGCTAACCTATTCATCTATGGAAGTATCCAACATTTTATGTAATTTATCATTTATCTTTCAAACTTTCTACATTTGTAAGTTCAAGTATATAAGTTTGAAGATTGTTAATGTGTTGAGACATTAAGTTTGCAATTCCTCTTGCTTGTGAATCAATAGTAAGTTTTCTTTTCATTTTATGTTATCAATGATTTATTTCCATAAGAATTTGTATGTTAAAATTACAATGATCAACTAATTTCCTAATTAGGGTTAAGGGATAATCATTTTGGTTTATTAACATTTATAAGTATTTTTATTACTCAATCTTTACAAATTTTATTAATCTTATGGTTAAATGATTGATCACCATTTTAATCTACATAATCAATTTCAAAATCGATAGAGGCGAAATTGATAGAACTTGATTTGTTTAGAATAGACATGTTGGGAAACGTATTGTTTATGTGTTAACCTTTTTACTAATTCACTTGTTTAAAGTTCATCCGTATATTACGAGAGTTAGTATGGATAAACTACTAGATGAGTAATTAAGTGAACCGGTTAACCGAGTAATTTAATTATTAATAAATGTTAATAAAACCAGAATTGATTATCCCCAATACCCTAAACTTTTAAATTCATTATAAATTATATGTTTCATTTTATTCGTTTGAAAGATTTTACGAGTAAAACGAATTTTTCATTTGAAAGTTTTACGAGTAAAACGACCTTATTGTTTGAAAGTTCTTACGAGTAAAACAATTTTATCGTTCGAAAGTTTTTACTAGTAAAACGAATTTTTCGTTTGAAAGTTTTACGAGTAACGATAGCATTAATAATAGCTTGGAATATTATTGCCATTTTAGCTGTAAAATTTAGTTTAAAAATCCAATCATCAAATTGAATTAGAATGTTTAGGATTATTTTCTCTTTTGTAAATTAAATAAACGTTCGATTTAGTCCGGCTAATCTTCCTTTGAGAACGACACGAGTCGGGTTGTAACACCCCACCTTACTGTAAAATCAGAGTTGCGCAATAATTCGCAAAGTCTTTGAAAATTAAAACATTTTTACTTTGCGAAACTAATTTGGGGTGCTACCGTGAAAAATCGTTACTTAACTTTAGAAAACCGTTGTTTTTAGTTTAATAAAAACATCCGATTACTGAAAAACTGTATTTTCTTAAAAGTTCGTCAAGTGATGTGTCCGTCAAAACG